ATCATCTACTGAAACAAACAACAAATTGAAACTCAACACAACGAAAGCTCTTTTTCACGCAATAGACCTGATATATATTTATGACGAAACCTGACAAATAAGTATCACAGGTTGTAGGTTGTTAATCACCGGCCACTGAAGAGTGTGGGAGGCGCGGTGGCCTCATGGTTAGTGCGCTCGACTTCGGCTCAAGCGGTCTGGGTTCGAGCCCTGGCCGGGGACATTGTGTTGTGTTCTTGGGCAAGATACTTTACTCCCACAGTACCTCTCTCCAATGGGTATAAATGGGTACCGGCGAACTTAATGCTGGGGGTAACCCTGCGATGGACTAGCATTCCATCCAGAGGGGGAGTAGGAATTATACTCCTAGTCGCTTCATGCTACATAGAAACCGGAGATATGCGCCAGCCCGATGGGCCACTTGGCTCGTATTTTTTTTTTTTTTCAATTTAACAATGCAGACTTAACCCACCTACCCCTGACGAGTGTGTATTTGTGTAACATTAGAGCGCTTTTCTTTATGTGGTATATTCCGTTTGTAATGTGAAATGTCGTCAAGCCTGCAGTGGTCTGAAATGAACAATGTTCTCCTCCCAGCCCTGAGGACTTTGTTCTAGCGTGAAAAGAATGCGAGCACAGAATATCAGGAATAAACATTTCAAAATTTATTTGCATCGTTTTCTGCCTATGTCCTCGAACCTGAGTATCCTTCCGATATCCCAACAACATTTATGCAATAGAAATTGCAAAAAGAAGAAACAATAACAAAACAACAGTCATAAAAAGAAAACAGACGCCAATAAAGCAAAAACCGTCAAAAAAGGAAATCAGCTGCTTATCGCTACAAAAGTAAACTGTACATGACAATCAATTCAAACTTGAGTTTCGGAAAACTGATAAGGTATTCTGTGATATTTGTCGTTCAAATATCATCACACCCCCTCCTACCCTTACCAATCACGTGTGTTAAGAACCTTCACCATGTAGGCCCATTTTAGTTGCCCACATGTAGAACGAACAGGATGAATAATTTTATATCTATATGTATTCATTCTAAATAGTTGTTTTAATTTACGTTTCTACACAATTCAGTAATGTACTGCAACAGTTAAAATTCAATAAACTATCTATTTATCTATCTTTATCTATCCTCAGGCGCCACTGGACCAAGTTCTGATTTTGTGACGATATCTAAACACGTTTCAAATAATCTACAGTGGGTGGAGATTATGTCCAAGATCCCCGAGAGAAGTCAAGTACTAGGTATTGCGCTAACAGGATGGAGTAGGTGAGTCATCATTTGTCAAAATCTGAATTATCCACCACAGAAAGTCGTGCGACGCGGTTCATACTTTTATGCTTTGCATGTTGCATGATGTTGCATGCCTTTGGGTATCGAGTGAGCCCTTTATTGTATCGCTCGCGTGTCGTGCTCTTGTCGTACACCTGTTTCGTTGCACATGCGCATTTGTCGAGGTCAATGTGGAGGACTGATTACGGCGCTGGACTTGAATTCGTAACTCCAAGTCCCGAGTTTACTTCTCGGTCTCACGGATGTAAATAGCCAACAATTCAATATTAACCTGCGCCAGTAGGGAAAGCTTTTTAGTTTGTCAACATCACCTTAAGTTTAAATGGCCAATCAGTGTTAAATAAAGTCACTTTAGTAAAACGATATAGCCCTTCTTAATTCACGCTAACAAATCATCACCAAGCCCTAACGAATCAGAATCTCCAGCAAGTTACACATGTACGCAATGCAGAGATAATTGCTCTTTTGCTATGTCGCGATTTTGTTTCTCTAAGGGGTACTTCAGGATTATATTAAATCCACAGTTCTTTTTGTTATAATATGAAATTTAACCTGGTCGCAAATTTTACTGCATCCTTTGTTTGTTTTCATTTCTTGAACTGCTTCGTTGCAATGATGTTAGTCTTTAATCTTCATTTAAGTTTTCACCCAGGGTTGTAAGTTCTTCCCTTCGGTGAGTGAAATTAGAAGATGCTTGTCTTTTTCCCTTGATTGTTTCAGATATGATCACTATGGCACTCTGTGTGAGTTATTACCAGCGGGAATTCCCTCACTTGTATTCTGTTTAAAGGCTATTGATGAAGGTTAGTTTGCCCCCATATCCGTACATCATTCAAAACTTCTTTTCACATCCAGCGAGCTCTTAATAAAATCATAACCATAGAGATGCACAAAAAGACTGCTTAGAAGTTGGGCAAAGCTTGAGCAAACTTATGTTTTCTAAAGAGTTCAGTTATTCTGTTGGTGTCGGGCACAGACCGAAGCCGGAAATTTGAAACTACTTCAAAATGACGCTCAGATTGATCCAGTAGCTCAAGATGGAAAATGCGTTACGTCGATATCACAGCCACTTAAATGCGTTGACTTACTGCGCTATGTATGAAATTAGGTTTCACTGACCAAGCAGATCATGTTTTTTGTGGAGCATCACAACAAAAACGTTCTCTCTAAACGTATTGACTTGAATCACCGAAATATTGTACCGGCTAAACGTTTCTGTACATTTTCAATTCATTTCCTACTTTAACAATGTTTTTAAAAGATCAGTGGGTTTTAGCGCCTTATGTATTTCTGTTTTTCTTGCTTTAAGGGGAAATGAACGAAGCCTTACGTAACAATATATCTCATGAACTTGGTTTCAGCAATGCCATTGATGTCGAGGGAACTCAATACTTTGAGTAAGATAATCAGTAGTATTGTAAATATACTTAATTTATAGATTTAGCCAAGCCTAAAAGCGGAGCTCCTGGGCCTGGTTGGCCTTCTGTTTTGAGTTTGAATAATCTCGAGGTCCTAAAAATACACAAAGCAAAAGCAGTGAAAAACATTTGTATACAAGAAAAATTATACTTCGGTTAACTTATACAATCCTGGGTTAGCGTTAACCGGCTTCCGAACAACTCGGCCAACAAGTTAACCGGACATGAACCCGCGATCCAATCGAAAACCAGCATTTGGTCAGTGGTCAACTTTAAAAAAACACGAGACCTCGATGAGCTCTAAATTTGAGCCCGCGATATTGTCTCGTGCTACTGGTCAGCGGATACCTTGTTTTGACAGTTGTCAACTGACCATAACATGAATGTCCAATATCAAAGAGGGACGCTACAAACCACAAACCAAGGGTGCATGTCTCTGTCAGCCTATTAGCTGCAGTATGGCCGCCATCTTGCGCGACTCCGTCGTCGTAGTCGTCGCCGTCGTGCGTACGCGTCCACGAGCAATGCCGCTAGCCATGATAACGATGAGAAAATCAATTCATAGGTTTCGTTTTCTTTCCTATATGGGTATGGGGCTCCGCTTGGCGGTCCTTCGTGCCACCGGAGCTCCGCTATCAACTGTAAACATATTCTTCAACCCTTCCTCTAAACTAGAAGGGAAAACAAACAACTAAGAGGATCTTTGTATGTATCTCGAGGCTACCCCATGGAGAACTAAAGCGAGCCAAGAGATTCAAAATAAGACGGAAAAACTTCAAGTGAATCAAGCTTTTGTAAATGCACATACTTAAAATGACACACATTTCTACATGTTCCGTAAATTGCGATTTATTTCATATATAAAGAAAAAAAGAAAATTAACTGCTCAGTTTATATTGTGACTCAGTCAGAGTGAAATCCTTGAGTACAAAGGAGTTATCGCCATCCGTTTATTTTAATTCATCTTGCAGCGATGACAAAACATACGGAGATTTTCCAGGTCATGAAATCTACGAACTCACTTGCAAACTAAAAGACGCTCATCACGGACTGGGGCTAGTTCATAGCACGTGAGTACAGCACAAGAGAAGCAATTGCATTAATGGGCCTATGGCTGGTCATGTGATTTTTGAAATATTCGTCCAGTCCATACGCAAATAACTTGTCCTCATGCCGTGATTTTAAATTAACCTCCCAGCAGTAATTGGTTTCTGTTGCATTTGTAGCAAATCAATAAATCTGTAAATTGTTCTTCTTATCTTGATCATTGCAGCTATCAGTGTTTCGCATTGCCTAGCTACACAATAACTAGAGTTTCTTAGTAAAAATGGAAACATTTGCTTTCGTTAATCTTTTATTCTAGTACCTTAAGGTATCAGTAAGGGAAAAATTTGCAATTTTGCATAATTTTACTTTTTTAAGCAGTTGGATAAATCTTAAAGTAATCTTTTAGATAAAAAAAACACCACGAAAAAATCTTATATCTGCCGCTAGTTATTGCGCGAGAAAGATTGTTTTGCATATTAATTACTTAATTGAGAGTTGACAAGTTCTGTCAAATGAA